AAAGTGCTCAATCCCCCATCTCCAACATGTTTGTGTTACAAGTAAGAAAGTAAAGGAAATGAAGAGCCCCCACACCCTTCCCAAAAAAGGGGGAAATAGATGGATAGATGGATGGATGGATGGATAGATGGATGGATGGATGGATGGATGGATGGATAGATAGATAGATAGATAGATAGATAGATAGATAGATAGATAGATAGATAGATAGATATTTAAGGCTGCTGCTGAAGACACAGGATTTGGAGAGAAAAATCTGTCCAGACTTTGGAGAGTATGTGTGACTGGCTGTGGGGGCAGGGCAGGGCTTTGGCAGCAGGGTTACCTAGGAGGTATCATCAGCAAAGGGGGCAGGACTGTCCTGTCAGTCTGACTGATGGATTTTCTCGGCATGGCAGCGCTGGGTCATGAAACATGAAGTGCTGGACCATGGCCAAGCTGTTCCTGTTCTCCAGGGAGGCACAATGAACAATGGCTGCTCTTCTGTCTTGGTGGCGAGGTTACATGATGTCAGTGCTAGGGTGGCTGGGGATGGTGATGATGTGGAGAGCTCTGTGCTGTCTGCACAGCAGACTGGGAAGGCTGGGAAGGGGTGCATGGTTTTTGTCTGTGTTTTGGGACAGAAATAGTCAAAGGAAATTAACTTTGTTCATGTAGTTAACTTTGAAGCACTCCACACATACCTGAGGAACTTTTTTTTTTTTACTTTTAATAGTCTTCCTCCTTTTACCCAAACCTTTGACAGCTCATACTTGCTTGCTTTATTTTAGCTTGTTGCATGTACTTTGACATCATTGCAGCTGCTGCACTTCAAGGCAGGTGCACTCCTCTGCAAGAAGGTGCCTTGTGGTGGGTTGACCCCAGCAAGCAGCTAAGTACCCTCACAGCCCTTCACCCCCCTTACCCCAAAGGGATGGGGGAGATAATTAAAAAAAAATAATCAGAAATTAACAAAATTGAGGGGAGACCTTAGTAATGCCTATAAGTATCTAAAGGGTGGGTGCAAGGCCAATGGAGGCAGGCTTTCTTCAGTAGTTCCCAGTGACAGGATGAGGGGCAATGGGCACAAACTGGAACATAGGAAGTTCCATTTAAATATGAGGAAAAACTTCTTTACAGGGAGGGTGACAGGGCACTGGAAGAGGCTGCCTGGGGAGGTTGTGGAGTCTCCTTCTCTGGAGATATTCAAGACCTGTCTGGATGCAGCCCTGAGTAATGTGCTCTAGGGGATCCTGCTATAGCAGGAGAGTTGGACTAGATGATCCCTAGAGGTCCCATCCAACTCTGACGGTTCCATGATTCTGTGAGATAAAAACAGATTAGTAAGTGAAGAAAGAGGGAACAAGCCCAAGTGAAGCAAAGGCCATTCACCATCTTCCCTAAGTAAGACTGATGCCCAGCCAGTCTCTGAGCAATGGCTACCCAGGAAGATAAAGCCCCCACCCCTTTATTCCTCTTCCCAGCTTTCAGTGTTCAGCAAGTCATTGTATTGCATGGAACTGATCAGTTTGGATCAGCTGTCCCACCCCTGTCCCCTCTCAGAGCCTCTCATCCACCCCTGGCCTAGCTGCTGAGGTACAGCATGGGAAATAGGTGGTCTTGATGCTGTACACGCATAGTTCAAGAACAGCAAAAACATTGCTGTTCTGTCACCTCTGGTTTAGTCACAAATCTAAAACATGGCATCATATGTGTTATGAAGCAAGTTAACCCCATCCCAGTATGTGGTGGGAATCTTCAGCACGCAACACAACGTGATGGAAAAGATGCATAATTTTGTTCTCTTAGAGAATCCAGAAGAGAGAGATCTTAGAACTGGTTGTGGGCCTGCAAGGCACAGAAGGCTGCTAGGCTGAGTCAGCCTGCAGGAACGGACACAGCTTACAAAGGCCTAGAGAGGGATGGTATTTATTTACAGCACTCCTTTTTACTTCCTTAATCAGCAGGTTTGAATTCCCAGTTGTTGTAAATGCTGGGAAATGATGGAAATTGTCAGCATGGTTCAAATGTTGCCAAATTTGGTACTTTTTTTTTTTTTTATGGGACACAAAATGGAAGTATTCTTCTAGGAATAAGTGTATTCCAAATGTGCAAGAGACTACGTGCTTGATTTTGGAATAAAGGGTCCTCTCTGAGGAAACACACCAGTTTAAACCAATTAAACTGGCAAGGATTCTGCTAAGAGCAAGCCCTCCAAAACCTAGGGGAGAGCTGAGTTTCTGGAGCATGTTAGGCTGGCATGTGTCTGTGCGTGCAGAGGAGAAGCGACTGACGTGTTTGTTCAGTTTGGCTCCCTCAGCAAAGAGCAGTCTCCCTGGAATCCTTCCTGCAGGGAGCTGGACAGTGCTGGGCTGGCTCTCCTAGACAGCAGGCCATCACACAACAGGAGGCTGAAGTGAAAGATTAGGAAATACACTCAGAGTTAAGAAAGGAGTGTAAAGAATAGCGTTACCATGATGACGGACAGCTAAAGCATCCATGCTGACTTTTCTGGCTGCTATAGCTTGCAGCACTCTTTTCTGTTTATCCCAATTCTTCAGCTCCTGAAGTCATGGACCCTGACAGCCTCTCTCACCTGCCCCTATCCAATCCTCTAATCCTGTTCAAGCTTCAGCAGTGCCTTCCCCCACCAGGCTCCCTGTGAAGCCCCTGAGAGCTGCAATCTCCATCCTAGGCTTCAATCTACATGCGGACTTTCTCTTGCCATGAGAGAGAAGCAGCAACGTAGCTGATGTTGCTGTGGTGGAATTGTTGGTGATATTTCTGGGTTTTAAACACACACAACCCCACCAACCAACCCTCCTTTAATCCACTGTGCTTCATTAACAAATGCCCAGTTTCTGATATTTGATGCTCAGCCTAATATGTACAGATGCCAGCTTAAATCTGGGATAGAAGTAACTTCATGGTAGGAAATTTTGTCTGGGAACTGTGTTGGATGCTATCTGATACTAATTTCCTTTTAGCTTATTTTGTTATTTTATTCCCTGTTACAAGCTAGACTGGAAGCTCACAGCTAAGTGGAATGAACACAAAGGGGAGTGAGTATTCATCAAAGATAATGTTTAGGTTATTATGCCTGGGAGGGGTTGGGGCCACTCAGGTTAGATGCTCTGCATCTCAGCAATTACTTCTGAAGCAGACTTCCTGCTTTGAGCCCTTTCCCTGGAGAGTCCTTCCATTTCACAGGTTTTGCAGGTAGGCGAGCTCCTAGTCATTGAATTTAGCTTTTGTGAATATCTGTGTCCTTGCCCCAACAGGAACTGTAGAAGCAACGTATCACACAAGTTTGGAGGGCTGTGCGCAACAGGTATGGAAGGAGGCAGAGGAGGCAACAAGGCAGCACTTACATTGAGAGGAATATTTTTTTTTTCTTCTAGTTTATTGTATCAAAAAAGCTTTATTTCTATAAAACTTTGTGTATAGCATACTACTAAGTAACAACGATTACAAAAAAGTCACGGTGCTTTCTTCAAAGCCTGGCAGTTCCTTTACTGGCTGTTTTACATGGAGAGGAGGAAATCAGGGTCATTCTGAGGGAGGACTCAGCCTCACCCAGTACAGCCCCATTTGGGCTCCAGCTAGAGCAGGATAAATGGCATTAGTAATCATCGTAGTTGACGGCTGCTCCGTGCCTGAAGGTGTGTGGATTTCGTGGGCCAATTGGTGAATCTTCATCATAGTGGTGTTGGTAGTATCCACCATAGTATTCATTACGAGCACGCCCAAGGTTGGTCCAGTAAGACATGTCATCTTCAAATTTCTGCCAATAAAAGAAAATACTTGCTTTCCAAGCCTGGAACTTTATCAGGAAGAGAACGACACAGAAGCAGCAGAAGAGGAACCTTTTGCCTCTTGCAGAAATTCAGATCCTTTGCGTGTTTGTTAAAATGAAATCTTTAGATGGGTTTTTGTGACTTCTCTATGGGTTTATGAGGGCCTCAAGTGCAGGAATTGTCCTGCCCAGTCCCACCTGGGTCCCATGCCCACACCTTCTACCTATTGTAAGGTGCTTAAACAGAGAGTGCCTGCAACTGAAACCTTAAATATTTCTATTAGTGATGGACTGTAAAAACATTTCAAGGTTTTGTACTTAAAAATCTAAAGGTTTGCTTCCCTGCCACCCTGATACCCCTGCATCAAAGTGGGTGCAACAGGCTTTCACTTTATGCCTGTGATCTTTTATTCCCATTTTGCAAGGGTAAAAATGAATGTACAGCACAACCTTCTAGCTCACAATTCTGCTCACAACAGCAGAGGAAAAATAGTGTGCAAGGATATCAAATACTTGCCAAGTCAAAGCCTTTCCATCTGAATGACTCTTTGGAAATATTTTTGGCTGAGATTTGAAAAAAAAGTTTTGCAAAATACACAATGGGTAAGTATGGCTCAAGTCCTTTGCTGGAACAAACAGTTATCTCATTGTTAAAACCATGTCTTAATACTCAAGAAAACCTAAGTGGATTCATTGTATCCCAAAACAGACCTCATTTCAGTTTTTGAAATGCACACAGGAACTCAAAGGAAAATTCATCTTATCTGCATGGTTTGTCCTTGTTACCTCCTAGTATTTGCCCCCAGCCTTCAGTTTCTGACGCATAAAACTGATTTTCCTCTTTTTCCTATTCCTGTTAGGGGGGAGGGAAGGGGAATATAGTCACGCTGTTAAAAAGTCTTTTTTATCTGTGTAATATCCAGGAGCAACAAAAAAATGCACCCTTCATTCTTTCAGTTCAAGGAAAGGATTATTTTTTTAATTGCTCCAGCTTTGAAAATGAGTGCATTCATCTTCTAAGCAATTCACACCGCATGAAGGTCCAAAATATACTCCAGCTTGCCTGTGCCAATGCAATCCCATTAAACCTATTCATGCAGCTGCCATGAGCCAAGAATTCAACATTTATGACTATTTTTACCTCTTGTTAACGCAGAAATTATTTTGCGTGTGGGACTGCAACAAAAAAATGCACATTTTTCACCCGATTTCAGCATCTAGTTAGCAGAGCTTTGTGCAGAGCTGGGAACTCTGGATTTACAAATTAACTGTTCTTTACAAAAAAAATGTATCCTCGTTTGAAGGAGGATTCATTTATAGTCGGGGCACAGCTGCCAGTGCTTGCCATGGTCAGGATCTGCCCACACCACCGAGGCACGCGTGTGCATTTAGGTAAGTGTTGTTAGTGGAATTCCACCGAGGAACGCCAATCACGGCCAGCTTGGTGTGGATTTCTCAGCATGTTATAAAGCAAATTGATTAGGTGGTGGCTGCCAAATTAATTTCCTGAAAGACGATTGATTGCTTTGGGTCTGGCCGCCTGCTTCTCAACGCAAACTTTGTCTGGTTGCAATTTATTAAGCTTAACTTCAAGTAGCAAGCAAAGAGCTCCATGCAGGATTTTCATGTCATTTTTCTCTATTAAGAGAATAACTCAGAAATCTCTAACAAATACAGAGCTTAATTTTCCGTGCAATATTTGCTGCTTCAAAGAAAAAGAATTCACAGTGTCTGAACAGCAACAGGGCAGCTCCCCCTCAGGTGCCCCCTCCTTGGCTGTGCATCCCTGCTCTTCAGCAGTTCAGGCTGAAGCTCCACCCGCTCTCAACAGCCTCACACTCACTCACCGCCTCGTCGAATCCCAGGTACAGGAACTGCTGGTACCACTGCTGCACGTCGGGCTGGCTCCGGTCCCACAGCTGGCGCCGCTGGCGCCTCAAGCTGCTGAGGAACTCCTTGGCTGCCTTTTCTTTCACGGACACCTCGGACTTCGTGGCAACAGGGGCTGAAATTAATTCCCCCCAAAAGAAAAGGCATGCCAGGAAATTTTTTGTCAGCCTGAAGAGAATTGCACCTAAAAATGCTTCTCACACTCACATCATGCCATTATCCAGGAATTGTCCATGTAATAGGACTTTTCAGTTACCCTAATTCTCTTGGATTATATAAAAGCTGTTCCGAGCTCAAAGACAGAAGCTAAGTAAGGAGTTTAAAGAAGCCCAAAGTGAATGAGAATAAACACATTTGTGTTTGTGCTTGGAGGAGAGGAGACTGGCTTCTGAGTGCTGCTGTTGCAGAAATGGGAATGAAGATGAGAGGTAAAGTTAAAAAGCCTGAAGAAGCTGGAGAAACACTGCTAACTTAGGGTGAAGGGAGAAAATACAGATTTTTAAAATCTGTTGTGTAAAAATGCAGCTTTTAAAAAATGAGTGCTACTAAATTCCCCTATGCCTGAAAATAAAAGCCATTCAGGCTTTCATAGCACACACCTTGGTGGGTGCAGGGGAATGCTGTTGACCTGTCAGACTCAGACGTGCCACCCAGCCTGCCCCATGTCCAGGAGACCAGCATTTGCTGCAGGTGCTAGAGGGATTTCCGTGCCTCTGAAAGGTACAGCTGTGATGACTAGCTAGCCCCCTGCCATGCGTGGGCATGATAAAATGTGGCATGATGTTTGGTCTTCCTGTGAAGCAAGAAATGTGTGTAGGAGCTGGAGGAACATCTCGGTTTCTCTAGAAGGTTAATTGGAATGAGGGATATGTGGATGGGAATTTTCAGAGGATGCGAGGGAAGACTAGGGCAGCAAGGGAAGTTGGGTGGAGATGTGAAAACCACCGAAGTAAGAACTGAGCAGAGTCACAGGGGGAGGCAAAGGACTGCCAAAGGAAGGAAATGGAAGAGGCAGAAGTGGTAGCTGAGTTGTCACAAGAAGAGTGGGAAACAGGAGGCTGCCCTGAAGTGATGAGCTGGAAACTGGTAGCAAAGACCGTGTGCTAAGCTGGGTGTTATTACTGGGAAGGGGGACAACTGAACAAATGTCACATGGATGAGCCTCACACAAGGGACACCACCAGTGAGGGACCCAGAACTGTGTACTTAGCCTGCTTGCCTCAGCACACAACTGGAAAAGGGGAGTGAGGCTGGAACTAAGGGCCTGCTTATTCCCTCCACCATCTATTCAAGGCTTTGCAGCTCCTCCTGGTCTAGGCTGCCTTGTCTGCATGCCCAAGCAGCCTCTGCCTGGGTGGTCCCTCTCAGCAGGGGACCTGAACAAACAAGCCGGCCACTGCCGGGGTGCAGGGGTGGCAGGGGTGGCAAGTGGTCACTCCTGTCTGTTTGCAAGCACTGCAGAACAGTGAGGCAGGGAACACTCATGCAAGGCAAACAGCCATGGATGGGGCACACATCATAGGGCTGGCAAGAATTAGTGGGTGATGCCAGGAAAAAAAAAAAAAAGAAGTTACAACAGACTTGTAGAAAAGAGGAGTCCCCTCTTGGGGTGGGAGAGGGTACATTCTTTATCAGCCATAGAGTAGGCTGAGGGGAGGCAACCAAAACTTCTAGAGTGTTTCAGTCTGCTCCACATCTGCTGCAGTGCTGTTTGTCCCCAGCCAGCTCTGTTTCCATCCCCGTCCCTCAACCAGCGAGCCATTGGGTGCATCTGCCCACGGGGCTCTCGGCCATCATCTCTCCCATAGAAAGAGCAGTCTTCAAGAAGGAAGCACACATGGGGCCAAGAGGACAAAGGGAAAAAGTCAAGGCATTCTGAGCAATTCTGCACATTTTCTCCTCCACACCTGAGCCAGCAGTTTTTCCATGCATTATAATTCCTTGGAAAAGCTTGTGACTTCCCAGACTAAATCCAGATGAGTGCCACGTCTGCCTTGCATACACTAGAAAAGGTAGGTGCTATGCACTGTGTGGAGCAAAATGCAGGCACACTGCCTGAGGCCAGGAATCCTGGTTTTCAGAGGGGGTTGTGATAAGCAGAGCATCCAGAACCAAGACCCACGTGGACATGGAGGCACAGACTCCATCTGCACAGGAGTTTCTGGTGTCACACGTGGGAAGGGCGACTGTGCCCTACAGGTGCTTCTACACTGCTCCTCTGCCTGCCCTCCTGGAGCTGGAGACAGTGACAACAGAACGGTGGCCTTGACAGAGAAGCTGCCTCAAAGAAAAAAAAGAAGGAAAGCATTTTGCCTCTCTACTTACCTTCGCGTTTCTGAAGCATCAGCTTAAGCTTATTTTCCTTTGCAACATCTAGACAAGTAAAAATAAAATGCATACACTTACTAAGAAGGAAATAAAAAGAACAAAAAAAAACAAACAAAAAAAAAAGATTGCATCTTGAAAAGCACTGGAAGCATTTTTGTCGCAGCTCAAGACCACCGGGCAAAATTCTGCAGCAACTTTCTCCCTGTGCCTCCCTCTGCTCCTGTTTCCACGCTCGAGCGCAACATTCCCTGCAGGGAAGCTTTGGACACTCCAGCATCTCCTCCCAGCCCTTCTTGGCAAAGAAACCCTGAACCTGGCCTTCCTCACCAATTAAATTAAAACAATTTGCAGCAAAAGACTTCGGCCAGTGCCAGTGCCGGGGCGACAGAGTGTCGAGGGCAGCACGGCAACCCTGGAAAAGCCCTTGGGGCTGAGCGAGGGGCTCGTTACCAACCGGGCCGGCTGCTGCCGGATTCTCCCTTGCACCGGGTCCCAGAGCACCTCGCAGCTCTGGTCCTGCTGCAGCCCTTTCCCAGAAGGGATCCAAGGCTTTACCCCACGGCCGGGCAGCGCCACAGGAGACCCGTGTTAAGCGCTCGGCTGCTCCTAAACGCTTCACTCCCTCCAAAACAAGCTCCTTTCAAAAAGATGCTGAACTTGCACAACTTTTGGAAAAACAACCCAAAAGCGTTCACCCACGCGTGATGCCAGGCTGTTCCCTAGCCCCTGGGACGTGCCGGGTGAGGTTCCCCCTCCCCGCACCCCCAACCCAGTCCCGGGCCCAAGACCCTCACTCACCGGGGGCCGCGCAGAGCAGCGGGAGGAAGAGGAGGAGGGCGGCGAGGGCGGCCCGGGGGAGGGCCCGGCGGGGGCCCGGCGGCAGCATGGCTGGGGAGCGGGATCGCACCTGCGGGGGGGACACCGACAGG